CACATTATCAGGAAAAGGGTCTGGTGGAGGTGGAGGTGGAAAGGGCTGTGTCAGGCAAGCTAAGAAATCTGTAAAGGTTTCTTGAGTGCCCTGTTTTATTTTAGTGAAGGAGGTTCCCCTATCCTGTTTCCCAGGCACTTTCAGCCAAGCTGCTCGCGCAGCCTTTGTTATTTGTTCATAGGCTATAAGCGGGAGCTGTAATTGCTCTTGTAATTCTGTAAACATCCCAGTACCTGTTAATTGTTCCACAGAAACAGGAATCCCTGTCCTTGTATTATTCTTGGCTTGCTCTTGACATTGCTCAAAGTATTCTGATTTCCCTATTAAATAATCCCCTGGATCAAGGCACGTGTTTGCCAAAGAGTACCAGTCATGTGGGGCTAAAGCTGTATCAATTATTGAATCTAGTAAGGTCTGAACATACAGACTATTAAGACCGTTAACTGGCAGAAGCTTGTCTTAATTCCTTTAAAACTTTAAAGTCAAAATTTCTATGTTCTCTTAATAAGACCTCAGGATTGCCAGGAAAGGCTTCCTCATAAATTGGAAACATCATTCCCTTTGGGATAGAAAGTTTTAAATCAAGAGGTACATGTTCTGCTCTATCCTCAGCCTTTTTTATTGCCTTCTCTAATAGTCCTCTGCACTGAACTTCTGTCCCCTTTGGCAATTCGTCCTGATGTTTCTGACTATCTTCTTCTCTATAGGAAGGACATCTATAAGAGGGTGGGGGTCTTAAGGGGCTGTAGGTTGTGTGTATTTTAATTCACCCTCATTATTTTCACTAATTTTTTGTTGCTCATTAAATACCTGACTCATCTCTTCTCCTTCAGTCCCTGCCCCTGCATCTTTTTTCAGGATTTTTGTTGCTAAAGGTATTTTTCTGGAGGAGTGAGACATATTTTCGACACACTCCATATGGAAAATGCACCTGGACCAACTTCCTTGTAATATTCACTCATTTGTCTGCCCACCGTCTCCCACTTTTCTAAGTCTATGGTTCCCTTTCGTGGAAACCACGGGCAGCATGTTTCAACTCAGTCTAGAAATTCCTGTAACTGACTACTTGTGATAAGTAAACCCCTTTCTTTCACTATTTTCTGTAAAAGTCTCAAATAATATTCTCTATCTTTGTTCCCGCTTTGTGTTTGACCCATACTTTCGACTTTAAGTGCGCCTCTTACGAAAGTATGTGCGCGTGGCCAGTCCAAGGCAATACTGTTTTCTTCTCCTCTAAATACCGAGCCCCTTTGTTTATTTTTCCGACGATCCCACTTAGCCTGGTGCCCCTTTAGCCCTAAAACTGCTAAAGGTATGTATTTTGTGCCTTTCGCTCTCTTACCTTGTTTCCACAGCATCCAGCTGCCAAGGTGTTTCTTTGTCTTTTTTATTTTCTCCGGAGTCCCAAGAGAGCCGCTCCCCTCGAACCGTTGCTTTCAGGTCTGTCTAGGCGTTCACACCCCACGTTGGGCGCCACTTGTTGCCAGCAACTAAAAGTCACACGTGACAGGAGGGCGTGAACTGAAGAAACGTGGGCCAGGCGGGTCAGCCAAGACTGAACCATTTATTCTTCTGAGGGTCACAGCATATATAGGAAAAAGTTTGGAGCTACAAAGGATCCCTTGTGTGGGAAAACTATGCATATTCTGTAACTGTTACTGATAACCTTCAAGGTTCAGAGCTCGGTACAAAAATGCTTTCAGGACATACATCACAGGAGCATGCAATAAAAGTGTCAAGAAAAAAGGATTACATCATTTTAAACAAATGGTTATAAGATAGAGATTAACAGTCAATTAACAGGCCTTGACAATCATTCTCAGGGCTGTCTCAGATTCTTATCTCAAAGTATGTGACTAGTCCTCCCTAGTTTGCTACCTGTTATCCCTCATGCCAGACTGTTACTGTGTCACGGTCGGGCAGTTCCAGGAGCCCCTTAATGAATAGGAGAATGGTGAGCCAACATCCTGATAAAGTGAGCCCTTGAAGGTAAGAACAGGCAGGAGTTAAATTCCAACCTGAATTCTTTAACCCTTTGCTGCACTGATCAGAGCTGGCCTTCTACAGCTGAGTAAGTTATTCTTGGTCAAAGACCCATATCCTTTGCCTTTTAGAGTATTGTATTCTAAGCTCTCTGCTCATTTATGATAATACCTTATAAATTGTGTGTGATTCTGTGATTCCTTGGCACTTTACTTCTTTCTTTCTGACTGCTTTCCGTATTTGTTTTTTGATCTGGACACTCTAGATTTTGGCTATAATATTCCTGAGACTTTTCATTTTGAGATTTCCTTTAGGAAGTAGCCAGTGGATTCTTTCTATTTCCACTTCATCCTATGGTTCCAAGACATCTTGGCAGTTTCATTTTTAAAATTTTTTCGATTATGATTACTTGGCTATTTTTTTTTTGGTCGTGATGTTTAGGTAGTCAAATGATTCTTAAAATTTTTCTCCGTTGTATGTTTTCAAGGTCAGTTTTTTTTCCTATGAAATACCTTATATTTTCTTCTTTTTTAATCTTTTGACTTTGTTTAATATTTATTGTTGCTTCATGACTTCTATTTATTCCATTATGATTTTCAGGGAATGTGGTGCTTTAGCAAGCTTTTGTACCTCTTGTATTAAACTGATAAGTCCTTTCTAACTCCTTCTTTTATAAAAGTCTCATTTTTTTCCATTTTTTCCTCCAGTGATCTCATTTTATTTACAAAAAACATTAGTAAATGCTTTAAAAAAAAACCTCTTCTTTCATCACTTCTAGGGATTCTAGTTGAATTAGTTCCTTTGGGTGCAATCCCTGGGCTCTGGACTGCTAGATTCCTGGCCTGACTGCATTTCCCATGTCAACAGACCAGTCTGTCTAGGTTGAACAAATGACTGACTGATTTTTCTTCCATTTCCTGAGCAGGATTCAGTCTGGCATCATTTCTAGTTCTGTTTGGAGGAGTTTGAGTTGGGAGTGGAGAGTGGGAGCTCTCTGTACTTGCTACTCCAACTTCATTCCTCTTTTTTTTTTGTGGAAATAAGTGCTAAATTTGTGAGTTCACTAATAAGGAAACCCAAAAAGAAGAAACTCCTTCTACTAAGACAGGTTAGCACTTTCTTTGCAATTCAGAGTCTTAGGAGGTTGATCTAGAAATTGAGAGTTTAAGTAACTTGCTCAGGATCACAACCATTCCATGTCAGAGACAAGACTTGAACCTAGGTCTTTCTAGCTTAGAAGCCACTTCTCCAACCTCTACACCAGAGAGGTTAGACACAAGGTCTGCAGGCCACCTGCAATCCACAACACTCCTGAGGGTAACCCAAATCAGATTAAAATGTGATTGGGGAAATTTAGAAAAAAATAAAAATACAATAAAACATGGATAATGTTGCATTTGAAAACTAAGTCATTATGTGGCCAGCAGGGATCTTTATGTATGATTTAGTGTGCCCCTGTTTCTATGTGAGTTTAACGCTGTTACAATACACACATCACACCACACCACGCCATCTCTCTATCTCCCCTAATATACTTAAAAAACACAAGAGATCCCTGAATATTCCCTTTTTGTTGTCCTTAACTTTCCATGCCAGCCTCAGCTTATTCTGAGCATCAGTAGTCTTCATACCATTTATATAGGACTATGGCATGCTTTTGTGTGCTCTGTCTCTGTATCCCCATCACCTAATACAATGCCTGGCATACTGACCAACAGATTGATGGTCCCTAGGTTGTCAGTCTTGCCTCCAACTTCTGAATGCATCTTTTAAAAGTCTAACTTGGTTGATGAGTTGTCTGTACATCTGTGTTTTCTTTCCTTCAGACAAGTCACACCTTTTCCTCCTCCTCAGAATTATATCTCTTTTGTGTTTGCTTTCTTATTTGTTTTTGGAATTTTTTTCGAGGTCCTATCTCATCCATACTGGAAGTACAAAGACCCAATCCCAATAATGAACAGCCTGGGAGCTTCAACTTTCTCTGTTTTTCTCACCTGTGCTGGTGCATCCCTCCTTAAGCAGCCTGTTGACCCTGCATTCCCAGGGAAACAGTACAGACACACACTTGACTTCAACACTACTGTAACTCAGAACTCAAAATGGATCTCCAATCTCAGCCTCCCTAGTATAGACTACTGAAAGCAAGCACCACCCCATCCATCCATTCTAAAGGGCTTCCCATCTCATCCACCTCCTGACTTTCCCTGGAATAATTTGTTCCATTATTATGGATAACCTGTAATTATGGGCAATCTCAGGTCACTATTTCTAGCACCAAGACCTCAGATAAAACGGTGTGATGGACAGAGAGAATGAGAAAACTTGGGTTCTGATACTTCATAGTACTCTGGCCATGGTCAAATCATTCAGCTTATCTGAGCTCCTGCTTCTTCACCCACCAAACGCACCACATGTCACAAGGCAGTTATAAGAAAAGGGACTTGTAAATGTGTTATAATTATGGTGCATCAGAGGATTCTAGGAAAGCATACATCTCCATTGTTCTCACTCTCTCTCCAAATTAGGACTGCAGGCTGGGTTTGGCTGCTTTGAATAACCAACAGCTGATATTTACATAGAGTTTTGGGGCTGAAAAATAACTTTAAATATATTATCACAATTCATCCTCACAACAACTTGTAGAGGAGGAGAGGGAAATTATGATCCCAAATACATACATATGTACATACATATAAATATTCTCTTTCCATATATAATATATATATTCACATACACATATACATCATCTGTACACACACACACACACACACACACACACACACACACACACACTTCTACTTCCAGTGCAACTTACACCTTGGGTTCCACTGAGGCCAGGGTGGAGTAGTTTCTTTGCTCTGAATTTAGAGTTGTGTAATCAATTGGATCCAGCTATGTAGATACTTGGCCATTGGCTCAAAGGGGAAGTAAGAAGGAAGAAGGAGGAGTTCAGTGGGATGAGGGCCAATGAAAGAGGCAGGAGGGGAGGAGATTCTGAGGTGGAAGGGCAATGCTCACTCCTTCTTTTAGAAGAGTTTTATGTCCTCTGGAGTGGACTGGGCTAGGGTTGGTGGCACAGGTGTGCACTGCTGGTTTCTGAATATCGCGCCTGCTTGGAGGCCACTCCTGGCATCCCCTGCCTGCCATGAGGGGACTGTGGGTGCCTGACGGTGTTACCACCACCTGCTCTGTACTGCTGTGGGTAACACTGTTGTGTTTAGGTAAGTCTCAGCTTAATGGAGCAGAAAATGGGAGTGCAAAGACAAAGGGCAAATTCTAGCTCAGACATTGTTTGGGGGACTAACTTGGGAGGAAATCACCAGTGGAGAAGATGGAAAGAAGTGGAAGGTGGGTGGGGAAGGGGCTCAACATAACCAGTTCCTTAGAATCAGGACAAAGTAGAGATGTTAAGAGTTGCTGGTCAGTCCCAGGCCAGTAATTCTGAATCTTACAGCTTGCCCTAGGCCAAGTGAATCTCTTGTTTGGGTGTCCTCTCTCAACCAGGCACCCTGATAGTTTTTCTTTCTCCCTCCTATTGTGGCCTACACTTTGAGAACCTGACCCTCTCTATGCTATAAATGGCTGATAGCAACTCAGTGTTAGACAGACACCTCCAGGGTGTTTCTATTTTAATAACCACAGTGGAACCAACTTGCTTCACTCAAGATGTGGTTGAGGATGTTTCTACCTCTGTGGCTCAAATCATGAAATGTTTGCTGTACTTTGCTCCATCTCCTGTGTCTAAAGCTGCCTTTCCTTGTTGAGGGAAGGGAAGTGTTTATCCTGGGAACCAGGAAATAGGCAGAACCCCAATTTCAGTAATTCAGGAAAGCAGATTGTGAGGCTTGAATAATTAAGAGAATTGTGTTTATTTCCTTCAAATATGTAGACACTGTCTGGAATGGAGGATGGTGGTGAGGTGGATGAGTATGCCGGCTGTCGCCAATAAATGTTATGTACTTTTAAGCTCTAAGCTGTGGCCGTGGATCAAAGATTTAGTGTTGGAAAAAACCTTGGTGCTCACTTGGATGGCTCCCCTTCTTTCCCCATTTTTAAGATGAAAAAGAAAAACCAAGGCCAAAGAAGGTAAATGATTTGCCCAAGGTCACAAAGGTAGCAGAGCCATCATTTGACCTCAGGTCCCCTGACTCCAAAGCCACACCATGCCTCTGATTTTGCTGCAAATTCCTCTTCTTTCCTCTTTTTGGTGGGAGTCATCTCCAGATCAAATTTTAAGTTTAGATGAAATATACTGAGTGTGGATCTCCTACCCCACCAAAGCCAATGTGTGTTCTAGAGGCTCCAGGATTGCCCACATTGGTCATGGCAGACTCTCCTCTCCACTCCCCTAAATGTCATGCAGTTCATACTGGTCTCCAGAGAGATTCCTGGGTGATCCATAGCTCTATCAAGTTCAGTCACCTTTTGATTCACCTCCATGACCTGGGGACTCCTCTATCCTTGGACATAGTTCAGTAACAAGCCTGAAGCAGGGAAATTCCTAGACCTGATAATGAGCAGTGCTTGGTTGTGAAAATGAGGGAGTGTGAGGGTAGAATGGAAGTATAGAGCCCATAAGGAAGGGAGGCACTGTCTAGTCATCCTACTTTATAGTTGGCTAGGGAGGGCCCAATGTCTCATCCAAGATCACTCAGTTAGTAAATGGCAGAACCCATGGTCCATAAACACTTGGTAAATGAAGGGACTTTCTTTCTTGAGATCACACGGCCCTGTCTCCTGACTTTCAGAGCAATTCCTCTGTTCAGAACACTTGCATATCTGCAGTTCTTCCATTTTCACTCCCTCACTGGGGAGATGGATTTCTCATAGCACCCTGATCTGTCTTTCTGTCTACATGGGGGGAAACTTCTGATTTTCCTCCACATTCCCTCTGTACAATCTCTGAATGACTAACTGTCCCTGGCCTTGTTCCCCTCTTCAGGCAAGGATCCAATTCTACCTATGCCCAAATAATAAGAGCTACCATTAAATGGCACTTTAAGGTTCGAAAGGGTACCATCTCATTTGATCTTCACAACAACCCTGTGATGTAGGTGCCGTTATTGTCCCCATCTTACAGATGAAGAAACTGAGGCAGATTGTGTTAAGAGACTTGCCCAGGATCACACAGCTAGAAAGTGTCTGAGGTCTAGTTCTGAACTCAGGTCTTCTGGCCTAGGCCCTGTGCTCTAACCACTGTACCACCTGGTTAAATAGTGACTGCTCACAAGTCCTAAGCCAGACATGCAGCCCCCATGCCCTGTCAGAAGTCTTAAGAAGCATAGCCAGTAATAGGGAAATAGGTTTTGCATGATTTCACATGTATAAGTGATATCACATTTCTTGCCTTCTCAAGGGGTAGCAGAGAGGTGGAAAGGAGGGAGAGAATTGGGAATTCTACCTTTAAAAAAAGAAAGAATGTCAAAAATAAATAAATAACAAATAAAAAATACAAACAAAAAAAGAAGGAAAAGCATAGCCAGATATGGCCAGTCCCCTAGAGACTCTCCTTTCTTCATTCTTCTCCCTGTTCATGAGCACTCTTAGATTAATCCTACTCTCAAGAAAGGACTTAATTCAATAAACTCATTCATGCTGAGGTGGAAAGATGTTTGCATTTCAGAAAGGAACAAAACATTAAGCCCCAGGAAGGTCTCTAATGGTGGCATTTCAGATGTCACTGAGCAGGCAGTAGATTGTTTTCCTATTTTGTTGAGGGGAGGGGCCTTCCAGTGCCCCTGCAATCACTCTGATTCCAGGCAGCTGTGAGGAAGCCTGGGGAAACACTGCACAACAGGCTTCTCTGGGTCCCTAGTCTGGTTCATGGGAGTTCCATGCTGTAACTACCTGGCCCCTGGGATCCCTGTCCTGGTCTAATCCTTGCTTTCTGATCTCTTGCAGCTCCAGTCATCAGGAGTAATGGTAAGTTCTGCATTCAGTTCTGGAGTCTTTTTTATTTTATAATCACCACTTTCCTCCCCACCCTTCCTGAACATCCATATCAGTGCAGTATAGGACATATCAGTACACCCAGGGCAGCAGCTGCTATCCTGACTGGAGCCTTGAACCCCCCTGATTAAGGGGAGAGTGAGACTTTAGGGCCAGTGAGGAAGCAGCTGTCACTGAGATAACTCTCTTCTCCCAGTACCTTCCACTCATGCTTTTCTGCTGCTAAAGACTCAACCCTCTTCCTCAGGAGCCTGTTGTTTTTAGGTGGTTCAGTCATATTTCACTCTCCTCTAGTGTGTCCCCATTTGATAGATGGGGAACTGAGGCAAATAAGGGTTAAGTGACTCACTGAAGGTCACACAGCTAGGAAGTGTCTGAGCCTGGGTTTGAACTCAGATCTTCCTGATTCCAGGACCATTGTTGTATCCAGTGTGCCACCTAGCTGCCCAGGAAACTCAGTTTTCAGTCACCAAGTCACAGGAAGCATATAAGGGCTCCAATAAGGGCTAGTCTGCTCAGGTGTGTCGCCATGTTGCTCTGTGATTAAGTAAATTATTATTGTTTATCCTGTCTGACTCTTCACAACAGCATTTGGGATTTTCTTGGCAAAGATATGGAAGTGGTTTGCCATTTCCTTCTCTAGCTCATTTTACAGATGAGGGAACTGAGGCAAACAGGGTTAAGGGGCTTGCCCAGGGTCACCCAGCTAGTAAGTCTCTGAGGCTGGATTTCAACTCAGGTCTTCCTGACTTCATGCTTGGCACTCCATCTGCTGCCCCACCTAGCTGCCCTTCTGGGTTTGAGCAGTTCTTCTGTGTATATCCCCATTTCTTCTGAATCCCTGGGCTTGTGTGTGTGTTTTACTACCTGTACTATGGAAAGAAAAGCCTGCTATTTACTACCCATTTGACCTTGTTATTTAACTGCTCCAAGCCTCAGTTTTCTCATCTGTAAAATGAAGAAGTTGGACTCACTAGATAATCTCTATAGTCCCTTTCAGCTCTAAATCTTATGAGTTAGGATCAAATGAGAGAATCTGTGTAAAATGCTTAGCACAGTACTGGACACACAGTAGGTGCTTAATAAATGCTTGTTTCCCATCCCCACTTCACATGGCACATCTGAATTCTATGCCTCTGTGGTTGCTCTGAGGTGGTCAACATAGTTGATGCTTCATGGATCAGAGTGGGGTCATCTAGAGCAACTTCCTCATTTTGCAAGTGAGGAAACTGAGTCCAAGAAAGGTCAACTGAGTAGCCCAAGGTCACACAACTAGTAAGAGACTAAACCAGAATTTGAACCCAAGAGCCTTGAATCCAAAGCCAGCATTCTTTCTCCTGCCCCAAGTGATCTCTAAATATCTGTGTATGTGCTGTGTGGGTCAAGTCAAAGCAAATCAACAAGCATTTATTAAGTGTCTGTGATGTATCAGGAACCAATGATTGTTAGGGATACAAAGAAAGGCAAAAATAATCCCTTCTTTCAAAGAACTCACAGTCTGTGGATGCTACACCAGCTCGAGTATATGTATTGTACATTGTACATGTGTCTGTGTGTCTGTTATGCCTAGATCTTGGGTCTGTGTAAGAATGCCAGCTGAGTGGGTTGGAGGAGGAAGTATTGGGGGCAGAGATTCAGATCCTTTGATGAGGCTAGCAGCTAGTAGGGGCTGGGATGCCTGACCTTGGCATGGAGGCAAATGTGACCCCTCCCTCTTCCTGCAGGAAGAATATTTTCTCAGTAATGGATCACTCTCCTTCCTACACAACAATCTGACCCCAGAGATTTCCAGGGTTTTTTCTAGATCTTGAAGATTGAAATTACAGATCATTCAGTCTTACTTTCCCTGACACGGGTTCTTTTTGAGAAGATGATAGCTCTTGGGATTTTGTCCTTGTTTGTTTGTTTGTTTGTTTGTTTTTTTACCAATCAGATGGGACCTGGGGGATCCTTAGGGAGCTGTCCATCCTTCTGGAAAAGGCCCTATGGCCTCATGACTCACTATGGCATCCATGTGTGAGAAAACTGCCACCAGCAGTTGACCAGCTCTGACTTTTTGTCTACTCCACAGCCCCCTAAACACACACTGTGTGGGCTCGATTCTATTTTCTGTGCCTGTCAGTGGTGTCCTCCCCTCAGGTCTGGGATTTGATGCCTTCTTGGAGACTCCTCTTCCTCATTCTCTCCTCTCTACCCACCAGGTCCCCCAAGGGCAGTACTGACCCTGCAACCCCCGTGGATCAATGTTCTGGAAGAGGACAGTGTGACTCTCACTTGTGAAGTGTTCCAGACCCCTGGAAACCATTCATTCAAATGGCTCCACAATGGATCACCTCTCTCCATCCACCAGGACTCCTATACAATCCCAGCTGTCCATATGGAGAACAGGGGGGAATACCAATGTGGGACAGAACACACTGCTCTCAGCAACTCTGTGAAACTACAGGTCTATCTTGGTAAATGAAGGAGACTGAGCCTGGGGTAAGGTGGAATGGGAGGGGAAGAGTTGAAATCTGCTTACAGTACAGCCTGGAAAGGGACATACCCTGTTTATTGGCAGAACTAATGTCAAGGGGGATGGGTGGTAGAGTTCCTGAGAAATCAAGTTACTTTAATTCTCCTTTTCGTTATTGCCCTTACTGAGATATGATTTTAGCTTGTCTTGTTCTAAGTTTCTCTCACTGACTCTGTCTATTTTCACTACTCCTTTCTGCCAGGAAATTTCCAGAGCTCCCTCCCAAATGCCCAGGAGATTAGAGAACTACATTTAATCAATCAATAACTATTGATCAAAGGCCTACTATGTACTGAGCACTGGAAGTATAAATATAGAGAATACAATAATCCCTGGTCACAAAGAGCTTACATACTAATTGTGAGATAACAAGTATATGTTATAAGTGTGTGTATATACATACATACAACATATATTATATTGTCTATATATACAACATAAATATAAAATTAATAGCTACAAATATATACAAGGTATTTTGAAAGGAAGACTACTACCAGTTGAGAGGCCCAAGAAAGGTGTGATGCAGAAGGTATTGCCTAAGCTGCTTCTTGTAAGAAGAGAGGAACTTTATGAGGGAGAGGTAAGGAGAGGGTACATTCCAGGCATAGGGAGTGGAAATGGGGTGTAGAGATGGACAGTGTACAAGCCTGGAGTTGGGAACTGAAGGTAGCATGAGAGGAGCAGAGAGAAGGTCACTTTGACTGGGTGGCCAAATCCAAGGGAGGGGAGAGTCATGTTCAGAGAGGCTCACTAGGTTGTAAATGCCTTTCACAGATAACAGAGGAATTTGCATTTTTTCCTACAGGCAAAGGAGAGCCATAGAAGTTGGGTGAGGAATAGAGTCCCATGGTCAGTTCACCATGCTATAATAGCATCCCCTGCTGGATGAGAATTATGACTCCGGATTAAAAATGACCTCATATTCTCTAAAATGTTTTAAGCCCCTGCCTAGTTCTTTAAATCCCCTGAAGATGTCCCAGTGTTTATCTTAACTACACATTCTCCACATTTCTTTCTCCACTTCTTGGGTTCTGATATGTGGTGAGTCCTTTGGATTATATGTAGGCAGATGGGATATATGAGTATTCAGAAAGGACTAGTACCTCTGGTGTGAGGGTTTGTCAAGCCCTTTTCTGGGATGCTCATGTCCCTCTGGTGTCCATCTGACATTCAACTCTCTCTTGTGGTTCTAAGAAGGTAGCATGTGTAGTGGTCCCCTATCTTGGCAGACGTGTCAAACAAGGTTGAGGGTAACCAACCAGTCACAAACACTTTGGCAAGTTAGTGGAGTGTCTACCCCAAGTATGTGAAGACTTCTGCCAGTGGAATGGGTGGATATGGACATCTTGTTCCAACAGACATGAAGATGGCTGAAGTAGGTATTATGGAATGCTTAGAGCTTGGTCAGACGTCTAAGATGCTAGGGTCATCCACTTCATCCTAATTTTTGTCTTGCCACTGGACTTTCATGACTCTGGAAGAGAGTGAATCTGATGACTTTCTCCAACTCTACCTGTCTTAAATCCAACTCAGCCATGAGTCATGCCATCACCCTATGATGTCATTGGTCCTCTTTGAATACAAAGGACAAACAACAACAACAACCACAATATGTAGGCACATTCTAGCAAGTGGCATTATGCATGTCCTCAGGCCAGGTTCAGTGATTGGAATCACTATTCAGAGTCTGGATCTGTTTTTTGTTGACTTTATAGATGGCAGGAAGTCTTAGATGGCCCAAGGCTCTAGGACAAGCTGAAATGTCCTGAGCCAATGACCTTTGTCTTTGCCTTTCAGATTGGCTGCTACTCCAAGTGGAGAGATTGAAATACATGGAAGGTGACACTATGATCCTGAGGTGCCACAGTTGGAAGAACAACACACTGCGCAAAGTCACATACTACCATAATGACAATGCCTTAAAGTTTCACAATGAGATTTTTGACTATATTGTCTCTCCAGTAAACCATACTCACAGTGGTTCCTACTTCTGTAAAGGGAACATTGGGAATACTACCTATCTATCTGCACCTGTGGTCATCACTATCCAAGGTAAGGAGACTTGGCCAAGGCATTTGAGGGAAAGACTAGCCGCCTAGGATCAAGATTATGTGCTTCTTATGGAGTGGACAAGGAAATGCTAGAAAGAGATAGGAATAGTGGACATTTAGGTCACATTTGTTGGTTTATGAAGTATTTTTCATACATATTTCATTGGATCTCCACAAAGAATAAAACCAACCCACAGGCAATATTATTACTATTATTCGCATTTTAGAGGTAACAAATTGAGGCTCAGAGAGCTGTGACATCTCCAAGATAACACAGCAGCAGGACCTGAATGGGAGTCTTCCTCATTCCAAGCCCAGCACTCTATGCGCTATGCCATGCCACCTCTCTCAGTAATTCCAATCAAGGCAAAGAGCCAAGGAGATTCATGGCAGAACCACTATGTGGCGATCACGTCAGATGTGTTGGGATTCTAGAAGTCCCAGCCACACGTCCAGTTTCTGCATGTTCACCTTCTTTAGCAACCACAGCTCCTTAATGATAAGCCTTAAGAGGATAGCTTTTCAATGACTCTTGAGCTGACCCCAGATTATCAATAGAAACCCCTAAGTAGGAGGTGATCAACCAGATACATAGCTTATAAAAAACTCCTAGAACCCCATAATCCATCCTCTATCATCTCCTAGGCCATCTCCTTCAGTATAGTTCTGTATCCAGGTAGAGAATATGTAAGCCTGTGCAATGGCCTCGTCTTGTAAGAGGGGCCTGAGGAGTGTTCTTTTCTTCTGATTCTTTTGGCTCCTCTACCAGGTTATGAGGGAAGGCCTCTGTCAGTATAGAGAAGGAGCATGGATCATTTCAATATAAAATATACAAGTGTTTATTAAGTGTCAGGTCCTGTGCTATGTTAAGCTCTGTGGATACAAAGAAAAAAAAGTCTGTGACTTTAAGGAGCTTACAGTCTAATGGGCTAGATAGCATCCAAGCAACTCTGTATAATCCATACATATATATACAGGATTAATTGGAGCTCATGTTGGAGGAAAGGTAGAAGAATTAAGGGAGAGTGGGAAAGGCTTCTTTCTTGCAAAAGGTGGGATTGGAGCTGAGACTTAAAAGAAGCCAGGAAAACCAAGAGGCTGAGACTAGGAGGGTGCTTGGCTGCTGAAGACAAGGGAGGAGAAAAGGGGAAGTTGGGGCAAGGTTGATTTAGTGAAGGGGAAGGAGAGGGTAGAGGTAGGGAAGAAGTAGTATTTATCTTCAGATCTCTCTCTCCCAGGGTCAGTAGAGAAGCTGAGCACTTGGATGGTGGTTATAATAGTGTTCGTCCTGGTGGTTGCGATTGCTGTAATTGCTGCTGCTACTGCCACCCTGTGTTATTGCAAGTGACACAATGAATCAGGTATGTGGTGTCCCCTTGGTTTCTTATGTAATGGGCTCTCTTTTTGGCCAAGATCCCAACCCTATCCTTCCCCAGACCCTGGATCAGTACCATTTTTTTCCTGGCCTGGAGAATCCCCAGCCATACACATACCTATACATCTGAGATTCTTTAATAAAGAATTCTTTAATTCTTTAAACCACCTGAGTTCTTTTGCTCCACTGATTCTGGAGTCAGGAGCTTGGGGACAATGCTTTGTAAACCTAATAAATAAAAAATATCACTGTTTCTCACATGAAAAACCAACTTGATGGAGAAACAAAGATAGAATAAGAGGATTAGTAAAAACCAGAAAGACAGTTTTAAAGATAGTCACTAAGAGATACCAAGATCTAGACTGAGTGACTTCTGAGACACACCCCCAAGCTATTCCACTTAGCTATCAGCATTCTTGCCTCTTTGGACAAGCCTCTTGATTTAATAGGACCACTTCCTTTTCCTTGGGCTGGGATTATCCCAACTGGATTCTTTAATGGTGCCCTTAATCAGGGACAGAATGTATGCCAGGTGGTGGAAATGGGAAAGCAATGCTTGAAATTTCATAGAATCAGAGATTTAGAGCAGGAAGGGATCTTCTAGGTCATCTCACAAAGTCTCCTGACTTTACAGATGAGGCAATGGGAGCCTAGAAGGTTAAGCAGCTTGTCTGGGGTCACACAAATAGAAAGGAGAAGAGGCAGAACTACACTAGTCCTTCACTTTCTAATCTGGCCTCTTCTCATCACACTTGGCTCCCTTTCTCTTTCTCCCCATGCTTCCAACCAGATTTCCCTGAATAACCTCAGTGCTAGATGGAGGGGCTTCACTGATTTGGAGCCAAACTCACAGGGAAGGTGGGAGCCTTAGTCTCTCCTGGCAGTGGGATGGGGGAGGGGTGGGAGGTGGTAGTGACTCAGCCACTTTTGGGTCTAGGTCACAGACATCTCTCCACGTGAGATGACGATTGATGCTTCCCCACCTGTCCACCACCTCTCCTGGCCTAAGATCTGGAGTACAGAAATCCCAAAATCTTTGTATTTCTCTACTTTCCACTGTCTCAGAAAGTATCTCCTCGAGTGCCGTGTGGCAGCTTTTTTTTGGGTGCAGGGTCCTGTTTCTCCTTTAATAAAACCCTTTCCCCTGTCCTTGGTCCTGAGGATCATGACTGTCCCATTATCTCACTAAACTGTTACGTGCCTGGCTGTCATCATTCTCTAGGGCAGCCCTAAAAACAGGGAAAAAGAAAAGGATCTCCTAGAGAAACCAAGTGAGTATAGGTGGCTCTCTCTCACTGGTTGTCCCAGTGTATGGTGGGACACAGATATACCTTGTCGGAGTTGGAACTGCAAGGTGGACTGGAGGCTGAAGAAAAGGAGGCTTGTGGGAGCTCAGCAGAACTGCAAGGAGGGCAGAAACTCAGCTCTCTTGGTCAGCTCTGTAGCACAGCCAGGACAACATTGGAGATGGGGAAAAGTGGAGACATTACATGGCAAAGCCTGTACAACCAGGCGTTCAAGACAGTGCTTCTCAGAAAGGGGAGGGAGGGGTATCTAGGGCTAATATGGGACTCTCAGGAAGACTGTTAGGTCAGTAGTGAGGGGAAAGAAGATAAGAATATAATTTAATGCTCATAATAACCCTATGAGTTAAGTAGTATAAACATTATTATCCCCATTTTACAGATGAAGTAACTGAAAGTCAAAAGGATAATATGATTGGCCCAATATCATAATATCATAGGATCATAAATTTAGAGATGGAAATGACTTCAGAGATCACTTAGTCCAACCCCCTCATTTTACAGATGAGGAAACTGAGGCCCATAGAAGTGAAGTGACTTGCTGAAAGACACATAGGTGGCAGAGCTCTGCTTTGACTCCAGATCCAGCCTTCCTTCCACTGCACTGTATGCAGATTCTAAGTGGTGGAAGCAGGATTGAAATCCAAATTTTCTGGGTTAAAATCCAGTGTCATTAGTAGAAGATGAAGATGTTCAACTAAGAAGGGAGAAGAATCAGGGCTCTGGAGTGGAGGTGTGCTGCAGACCCAGCAGCTTTGGGGCTGGGAGGCAGACTTGGCTCAGGGAAACAGTCTGGCCACCTTGCTCTTGGCCCACAGCAATGGGCTGAGGGTGTGGCAAGATTGAACCTTTTTTTTTTTAGTTGTAGAAGACTGGGTTGTACTTTTTAGCTTCTGTCTTATCTATACACAGCAACAGCATCTCTGACGCTTTCTAAGTGCTTTAATGTAACAATGTGTGGGTCTGACAACTTTGCTTTTCATTCACGCCAACATTCCTCAAGAAGAAAAAAGGCCTGAGGTAAGTGCCTTAGCTCCTTCCCCACCCCCACCCCCATCCTGTTCTCCCCTTCCTTTAATGGACTATTATCTGTTTCTCTTATGCTCCAAGGATTCTGCTCTCCACATCCCACCTCCCCAGTTCTTCCTCATTTCTCTGTTTTCTCTAGGTGAGGTTGCCAGTACCTTATTCCACTGCAATAAGATCTTTCGAACTAACAAAAAACACAGAGTTTTCCAGAGCCCAGACCTCGCCCTCTGGCAAAATCCTGTAATTGTACTGCTTTGAGCAGCATCCAGTGTTCTCTGAGCTTGGACTAGTAGTGGTCATGAAGCCTTGCGATGAAGCACACTCGCTACATCGTTGTTGATACCCTGTTTGTCAGTGTTATAACTCACTGCACAGCCACCAGAATAAATATTGAGATTTGGCCACACTGAACGGGTCCCTCCCCCCAGTAGGGGCGAGGCCCCAAGCTCTTATGTCCTCCCTTGCAAGCCGTCTGCTCCTGTTGAAATTAAACTTCTGTTTGACTCCTGGCTCTCCTGTCTCCAGCCTGTTCTGTTCAGCTCTGGCCACTCAAGGGTTAGAGACTGGTTCCGTTTAGTTAACACAGGTAATCCTGAGGAAGAAGCATCAGGACACTCGACTTATAAGACTCCCCAATAGTCATGACTACCTCTATGTCTCCCACAGTGGCCCTAACCGGCTGGATCCCACAAGCACCAGGTTAAGGCACCTGGTGGACCTAAGGCTGCATACCAGCTGCTTCCTGAGTTAACTTTGCCATTCCAGGAAAATGGATTTGACCATCTCTTTTGCAGTTGTCTGCATAAATTCTAAACTGCTTTTAAAAACCTGGAGGTTATTGACTGCCTATCTATGCTGCCAACATCTACTCAATCCAAATGACTTTGTACTCTGAATCACTCTTGCACAGTACTTTAGAAAATGCAAAATGTCTGGGTCCCTTTAGAGGAATTGCCCTGCTCCCTCCTGAAACTGCTCCATCCCTAGGGCAGGTCTTGGTTGTAGAGGTAGTTTTCTCTTTCCACAGGTGGTTGTGGTGGGGGCAGGAGGTAGCTGAGCATGGCTCCCCTAAGGTAAGGATGATCTACAAGAGATGAAATAGGGCATACCAATCTCCTTGTCCCACCCCTCAATAGTCATCACTATTTTGTGTGGAAATGGAGGGTCCTGGGGCAGAAAACAGTGGGCCTGGGGCACCTGCTGTGTGACAGTCTGCTTTTGAAAAGTCTGGTGCTTTATGGAAACCTCTCTGGTTTTTACATGAGTGCACTCCCTTGAAGCATTTAGGAAGTCTCAAGAGGAGGAAATGCCCCAGAATTACCAAGTCAGATTCAACAATGCCATGAGAACCCCATTGCCAGTGTAGAGTCCTTGGTGCTAAAGGTTTAGGGGCTTAATGTGAATCTGGCCTGTAGTGAGCAGGAGGCAGGTGAGGCATGCAAGGAATTAGGAAAGAGGGATCTGGGAAAGAGGTCAGGGAATGTCACTTGTAATGACTCCTTTCTAGGCAGGCATTGTTTCCCTGGGGAGGGAGCATCTCAGTGCTACTGTTCTGTTGGGGCCTAATCTCTTGGCCCAGAGTAGGTGGAGCAGGTTGGGGGACGGGCATCAAAGGCATCTTGGGATGAGAGGTGGCATGGTGCTGCAGAAGGAGTACTGGAGCTGAAGGCAGAGAGCCTGAGTTTGAACTGTGCCTCTTCTGCCTACTAGTGACATGACATTGGGTAAGTCAGCTCAGCTTGCTGGGCCTCAGGTTTCCCAACTGCCAAAAGAGAGCCTTTTACTAGATGATCTCAATTCAGTTTAATAATGCTCATTAAGCATTATTATGCTATAATCTCTGGCTTCCTCATGTGTGGACAGCCCTTCTTTCCTTTTCCAACTCATTTCCTCAGTCTCTCCATGGGATAAGGATAAGGTTATACATTCTATATCCTCAGAATGTATGTTTATTTAGTGAAAGTGTTTACTAAGCCTTTTATTCCTATGCTTTCTAGAGTTCTTCATAGGAACAAATGCAAGATCTTGTTAAAAAGCCTTCTTAGCCTCTATTAAAATAAGCATATTATTTTTCTTATTTGTATTGTGATTTGTTATATTTACAGTATTCCTTACATCGAACCAACCCTATTTATGTTAAAAGATTTAGGTTAAAAATTCAATCTGGTCATAGTATAAAATCTTTCTGATATGTCATTTTAGTCTACTTGCTCTATTTTATTTTAAATGTTTGAAACAGGGTTCCTTAGGGGTATTTGTCTATAGTTTTCTTTCTCTTATTTGTCTCTCCCTGATTTAAGTGTCACAACCATATTTGTGCCATAGAAAGATATTGAAAAGGTATCTGGTTTTCTCATTATTGCGAACAGTTTGTGAAGTATTGTAATTAATTGTTCTTTGACTATATGATAGAATTCACTTGTAAAGCCATCTGACCTTAGAGTTTTTTCTTTGGTAGTTCAGAGGTTTTTCAATTTATTTTTTCTGATATGTTATTTCAATAGGCTATGTTAATCCAGGTACTTTGTATTTTAAAATTATTCATCCATTTCCTCTAAGTTACCAGTTTTATTTATATATAATACATTGCCGAACATTCTATAGTTTCTCTAATCACTTTTTGTTTTTTTTAATTTAGAATTTTATTTTTCCCCAGTTATATGTAAAAACAATCTTTAACTTTCATTTTTAAAACTTTGAGTTTCATATTATCTTCCTTCCTGCCTCCTTCCCTTGCCCCCCATTGAGAATGCAAACAATCCGATAAAGGTTATACATGTGTAATCATGGAAAACATATCCATAATAGTCATGTTGTGAAAGAAAACACAGACAAAAAAAGTCAAGAAAAATAAAGTAAAAAAAACTATATGCTTCAATCTGTATTCAGACACCATCAGTTTTTCTTCTGAGTATGCATAACATTTTTTCATCATAAGTCCTTCAGAGTTGTCCTGGGCTGTTGTGCTACTGAGAATACGTAAGCCATTCACAACTGATCATCTTACAATATTGCTGTTACTTTGTACAGAGTTTATTTCATTTTGTATCAACCCATGCAAGTTTTTCTAGGTTTTTCTGAGAGTACCCTGCTTATCACTTCTTACAGTACAACAGTATTCCATCATAATCACATACCACAACTTGTTCAGCCATTCCTCAATTGAAGGCATCCCCTCAATTTCCAATTCTTTGGCCCCAGAAAAGAGCTACTATAAATATTTTCGCATGTACAGTTCCTTTTCCTTTTTTTTTTAATCTGTTTTGGGATACAGACCTAGTAGTGATATTACTAGGTCAAAGGGATGCATGGTTTTATAGCTCTTTGGACATAGTTCCAAATTGATCTACAGAAGGGTTGAATCAGTTACCAACTCCACCAATGGTGCATTAATGTCTCATTTTTCCCCACATCTCTTCCAATATTTGTTATTTACCTTTTCCTTCTATTAGCCAATCAAATAGGTATGAGACACTTCAATAATTTTGAATGGTAAAATAGGTTTTCATAATTTTTTTATTTCCTCTTCAACTGTTGTGGGTTTTCTTTTTTCATTTTTCATACAAATAATTTGGTTTTCCTCTTTTTCTTTTTAAAATCAGATTAGTTAACTATTTAATATGGGGGTTTTTTTCACTCAAAAAACAGAATCCTAACTGGCCTTCAATGGTCTTTTTGCTTTTAGTTTTATTGATCTCTTCTATAATTTTGAGAATTTATGCTATGTTGCCTGAATGGGGTTTGTTTAATGTTGTTGGGTTTTGTTTTGTTCTTTTTTTTGCATGCACATTAATTAATTTGTTCTTTCTCTCCTTTGTTGATGAAAGCTTTTAGAGACATAAATTTTCTTCTAATAACTACTTTGGTTGCATCCTATAAGGTTTGTGTGCTGTCTCATTATTATCATTTTCTTTGATGAAATTTTCTCTTATTTCTCTTATTTTTTCTTTGGTCTACTGATTCTTCAGAATTAAACTATTTAGTTTTCAATGACTTTTCAGGTTTTTCCTCCCAGGCCCTTTATTGAATATAATTTTTAACTGCATTATTGTCAGTAAGTTGTGTATTTAGTATTTAGGCTTTTCTATGCTTTTCTGAAGTCTTTGAGATATAGTACGTACTCAATTTTTATAAAGATGTCATGGGCAGCTGATAAATATGTGATATCTTTTCTATTCAGTCAAACAATAAGCATTTATTAAAACCTACTACATGTAGTAGTGCTAAGCATTGGGGATACAAGAAAGGAAAAAGACATTCCCTGCCCTTGAGGCATGTTAGCAGGACTTTACTGAGCCAATCTCTAACCTGAGAATGGTGAAACAAGCAGGCCAGAGACAAAGTGCCAGTAATCAGCTAGCCACTCAGTTAGTTTCATTATGAGCAACAGGTTTGCAAATCAGGAATTCTCCTGATCAGCATTCCACCTAGCTGAAGTGAAGACAGAGAAAATACACATAAATCACAATGGGAAGGGAAGGGAAAAGGTGGATTAGAAACAATATTTTCCAGGGCCAGAGCGGTTCCCCATGATAAACCCACAAATGGAAGACAATACAATAAATCGGGAATCCTGTGGTAGCAATATTGCCAGAGCTCTTTGGGGTCATTACTTGGTGGGTTACAGGACCAGAGTTCTGTGATGGCAGCAGGTTCTACAGTCTGTGATTCACTTCCCTTCAGGTACCCAGGCAG